AGCTGTCTAAACACACAAAACTGACCTTTTGGGGTCTCCTTTCTGCACCTTCACCCAGTGCTCGACCTGAGCCAGCGCAGTTTTCCTTTGCACCTTTTTCTCTGTGTCTGTACGGTGGACGAGACCCCTCTTATACACCACGTTCCCGTTCTGATCAGGACGTATGCCTGAGGAGGGCAGCCCGTTCCTGTGAGTGGGCACCGTGGAAGGTGGACGAGAATGGGCACCTGATTGGGAAAACCCTTCCATCTCCAGCTCTCCAGAGGAGATTTTAACAGGATCCTCCGACACTTCCTTGCTGTAAACATAGCACTCCTCCCCATCTCGCTCCGGCCTCAGCTCTGCCACCTCCACATGCGCTGTCTGCTGGAGGCCCTCGGCCTGGGAGGAGATTTTGATGCTGCTGCTGAAATGGTTGGTCTGAGGAACAGCTTGCTGCTCAGACTTGGAGCTTCTTTCGGCTTCTCTGTGGAAGGAAAAAGAGTTCAGACTTTTGCATTAATCATAACTGAACCTATAGTTCAGTGTGCAGATAACTGACCTTGAACTGACCATCTAGCTATCTAAATCTATCCTAATTGCAACATGACATTTCAAACATGTATGACATTCTTTCTTGCGTGGAGCATCAAATGTGAAATATAGCATAATATCTGAGCTGCTTTCTTCTACACAATGAGAGTGGAGGGTACCAGGAACTGTCATGCTCCAAAAAGTACAAAAATACACCATAAAAACATCATAAAACTTGCCCATGTTACTCATGAACTATATACAGTACTGTATTATCTACACTACTATTCATAACTTTGGGGCCTGTAAGTTTTATGTTTTTGAAATAATTATCTTATGCTCAACAGGGCAATATTTATATTGAAAATGTATATTGTAAAACATTATTACAATTTAAAATAATTTTTTAATATATTTTTTTAACATGTAATTTATTTCTGTAATGGCAAAACTGAAGCCATTACTCCAGTCTTCAGTGTCACATGATCCTTCAGAAATCATTCTAATATGCTGATTATATATGCTGATTATATATTATATACTGTATGCTGTGCTGAAGAAATATTTCTTATTATTATCAATGTTGAAAACAGTGCAGCTTAATATTTTTTGTGGAAACCATGATATATGTTTTTTGAAGCCACATGATAACATGTGAGGAACAAGATGAAATTTCAGATAATTTGAAATAATGCCTTGAAAATGTTTGACAGCTGTGGACACCATTGGCTTTCACTGCATGGAAATCAGCAGCTTCGACATTCTGCAATTATAACTCTTTTTGTGCCCAAATGAATCATTTGGTTTCAAAAGACATGTAAATGATGGCAATTTTCATTTTTGGACTAATTATTTATTCCTAAACAGGTGACATAACCTGATAATTTAGTATCATTTTTGTCTAGTTTGACCAGATATGGCATAATTAATTAATACATTTAGCATAGTTAATTAATACATATCTATAATGCATCAATTAATTTAATTTAATCGGTTCATTTCAGCTATTCATTTTTTATAATAGATTAGCCCACATACATAACTGACAGAGGGATATATAATTTAGAAATTATTTTAAAATATAATATCTAAAACATATTCATGATACATTTACAAATGACATTCAAAAAACAAAACAAAAGGAAACCTGAAATGCATCAAAACACATTAAAAATCTAATTGATAAAGGTAAAGTCATCATGTGCAATACTATGAATCTATCCCTAGATGGCACTGTTATATTACATTCAAAATTACCCTCAAATGAGCTAAGGGCCTACAGTGGAATGTCAAAACAGTACAGCAGCACTAACATTGACATTTTGCCCCTCACCATGATCAGACAGGTGTTTTGGCATCAGATTTGCAAGTATAGCAACACTACCAACAATCCACATACTTGTGTAAATGCATTTGCCTACAAAATCCATCAAATACAGCCACTACACTAGTCCTACCAACCATAAATGACATACAAACCACCTTCATGGTTATTAACCACCTACTCTCCTTTTTATGTATACTATAAAAGCCCAGCTATAAGGAAAGCCCTAGGGACAAACCCTCTCTGCACTCAAGGATGTGAAGAGCATGGGGGCAGCACACTAACATCACGCCCCAATCCGAGTGCTGTGTTCTGGGCTGGTGGCCCACAGTTAGCTGGCTGCAGCGTGCCGCAGTGATACTCCTCCCCAGAGCTGCGGTGTCAAAGTGTACACAACTATGGCACTGTGCCACTGCACCAGCACAACAGCAGCCGATGAGTGAATACACCACACTGATTTTGCAGTACCCCTGATCTATAGATCAGACATGAGCTTAAAGGAATTGTTCACCCAAAATTGAAAATTCGCTGGAAATTTACTTACCCTCAAGGCCATCCCAAATGTAGATGAATTTGTCTTCAGCAGAAAATATTTGGAGAAATGTAGCTTTTGATTACTTGCTCACCAATGGATCCTCTGCAGTGAATGGGTGCCGTTAGAATGAGCGTCCAAACAGCTAATAAAAACATCACAATAATCCACAAAATAAAGAACCATTTAGAAGCAAAAATACAGTCCAAAACAGATCTAAACAAACATGTCGGGGGATTTTAATGTGAAAGGACAACAGGGGATGGACGCATTATCATGTGTTATTATCATCAAGCCATATTTTGGCCAGAAGCAATGTTTTAAAGCTAAAATGCCTTAATTACGAATTATGAATTCTTACAAACATGCAGCTTTTATGTCACAAGACATTTATTGATGGACTAGAGTCATTTGGAATACTTGTGGATTATTGTGATATTTTTTATTAAAGAATTATGACGGCACCCATTCACTGCAGAGGATCCATTGCTGAGCAAGTGATGTATTGATACATTTCTCCAAATCCATTCTGATGAAGAATCAAAATCATCTACATCTTGGATGGCTTGAGGGCAAGTACATTTTCAGCTAATTTTCATTTTTGGGTGAGCTATTCCTTTAAAATACCTAGACCACAACAGCTACAGTTTATTAATGCCATCAGCATTTCCAGTGACTTAAATTCATATCTTAGGATCCAAACATGTTTGGGGATAGAAAACAGTCCTCAAAATTATTTTCTTAAAAGTTAAGTAGCAGCTATTTTAAATACACAACCAATCAGCACAAAGAGCAAGGCTGCAGTCACACTAAGCCCACAAAATTACTTTAGACCCCAAAATACTGAAAACCAGGCAATTTTTAAGTTTGGATGTGCTTTGAATTCAGCCAAGAGGTCCATTTGTGATATTCAGATGCTCTTTAGGTTCGTTATAAGATTTATACCTTTGTGCTTTGTGAACTTGCAGGTCAGAGCTGCACCAAACTTAACCTTTGGTACACAGCGAAACACAAGTTTTTTTTGCATGTGCTTGTGTTGCCAGGCCTCCCGAGTTAAATAGAAATTAATGGAGCTCAAAATCAAGAATGACTGTAGCTTTAACCCTAACAGACGGCTGACGTCATTGGACAGGATCAGTTAATTAGAGCAGTTAAACTTATTAGTAGTGCAGAAACCATTAACTTCACTTTTGTTGCGCATGAAATTTTCATAGTTGGAAATATCAATCATCACATTATATAAATGCAAAGGTAAAAGAACATAATTATCAAAGAATTAGGCAAATAAAGTTTAAATGACATTAATAAGGGTTAAATAAAGGAAATTATAGAACGAGGAGAAATTAGTGGAGCAAAGAATTAATACTATACTGGATCACTTTCTTAAAACATCTAACATTTTAAGCCAGTTCTTAAAGAAAAAAATCAACGGCTTTCATTACGCATTTAACTTTTTTTAATGTGACAATTTTCCAAGAAAGAATATGTAATGTAACTTGTAAGGGCATGTGTAAGGGGATCTGTAAAGATAAAACCCATAGGGATCTGACTGGACCATGAAGGAGTGAAAAATATTACACAGTGATATTATTGGGTAATATTATTTTTCTCCAACAATGCAGCCTTGGCCATGTCAGCAGAAAAGATAAGTTGTTTCAGAGGTCAAGTGTACTTCTATGAATCCAGCACAACCAGGAAGATTTATTAAGGAAGTTTTTTTTTTTCAATCCATTGGTGTGTATTATTTATTTATATTTTTGTATTTTGATGTATATTGGATCTTTTTTTATGTTATTTTGATGCATTTGCTGTCTGTTTTTCCTTGTTTGTCTTATGTCTGAAATCACTGTTTAAAAAAATTAAATAAATAAAGTAAGGGTTATCCTGTTGTATTTAATGGAATATACTGCCCAGGTCTCTGAGAAGATACAGATCTTGTTTCTAGACACCAGCCCTGAGAAAAGATTTGCAGCAGCAGGAGGCGACTGACCTCTTCACATGGCTCTGCATCAGTGCAGCCTGGTTCATGGCCCGGATCCAGCCATTCATGTCCTCTTGTGTGTCGGCGCTGAAGAAGTAGGTCCTCATGCCACAGTGCTCGGCCTGCGAGCCAATCAGAGAATTCTTATTGTAAATGTAGGAGCGCATTCCCGTGTGGCAGGCCTGAGGGAGAGACAGAGAGGCAGAGGTGACCATCAGCTCTGAGTCAGGTTGCACGTGCAAGTGAGGCACTGGACCAGCGGGCTTCAGTACTGCTGTGACAGCATCATTGTAGCCAGCTCAGAGTCATGCTGAACTGGTCTGTTTATTTTGTTGATCAGAGCTGAGGAAATGGCCTGTAAGAGGATTTCCAACCAATGATGACTACAGTACATTATCATTGTTAAAAATATTATCATGCACTTCAGTCAAATGATCTGCACTGATCAAGCATTTGAGACTTTTGTTGAAAAATAATGAATAATCATTGTACTGCAGTGCAGACTATGGAAGCCCATTATGCCTCAGAATATATAAAAGTTGGTAACTGTGAGAAAGTTTAAAATAAACAGAAAGTCGCATTTGTGAGATATACACAACCAAAATATTTTGGGTCTGTAAGATTTAGTAATGCTTTTAAAAGAAGTCTCCTACTCACCAAGGCTGCATTTATTTGAAAAATACCGTAAAACAGTAATTGAAATATAATATAATTTAATATAATATATATAATTTAATAATTTAAAACATTTTAAAATAACCATTTATATTTTAATATATGTATTTACATATTTAATTTTTTCAGGATTCTTGCATCCTTGCTGAATAAGGATTTCTTTCATTAAAAATGTGGGAAACAAATAATAGTAAATAAAAGTCATAATTGTGAGGTATAAAATCACAGTTCTAAGAAATAAAGTCTTAATTGGAAGAAATAAAATTATAATATTGACAGTCTGTTACCTTTTTATTTTAGACTGAGGTACAAACAGGCTTCAATAGAATAAAAACCATCAAAGTTTGAAAAAAAACAACAAACAAACAACAAAACACTGCAAACAAATGATCAGTCAATAAACTCTGTGAGGCGTTCCTGCAGAGAGCAGATGATTGAAATTCTTTTCCACTTATTTCACATATTCCAGAAATATTCCAGAATACCCTATATGTCGAACGTCACCTGACCAAACCCGGAAAACAGGTCTCAATGCTTCCGCTTGTCACAGAACCTGTTAACAGCCAAAAAAACAACAAACAAACAACAAAACACTGCAAACAAATGATCAGTCAATAAACTCTGTGAGGCGTTCCTGCAGAGAGCAGATGATTGAAATTCTTTTCCACTTATTTCACATATTCCAGAAATATTCCAGAATACCCTATATGTCGAACGTCACCTGACCAAACCCGGAAAACAGGTCTCAATGCTTCCGCTTGTCGGAGAACCTGTTAACAGCCGTGTTAAATAATAGCGATATCTATGGACTTTTAAGATAATCAGTTAAACTAGCTAGCGTTTTATTCCATTTTTATATCTAAATGTTAGTGAAAAGAATAAAAATTTAAAACTTGTAGATATCAGTCCACATATGTGATGGACATTGGTTATGATCATCATTGGCATCTTGAGTAAAACTGCTTTATATTTAACGAAGCATATGCAAAACGCTTGAACCGGAAGCAACGAGACCCGGTTAACAGAATACGGAAGTCTGTTGCGCATAACCCCTATTTACTTCAGCAGAAGGTTTACACACAAGCATCTCTGTACTTGCCCTCCCCTCTTCATCTGGTTATCAAGTGTACATGTAAGTGTTCAAATACTTTTGGGGTCAATTGTACATGCCAAACACACCACACAAATGTTAAAAATACACAACATTAAAGATGCACACAAATACTTACACACATAAACAAAGCTGTTAATTCTCTTACTGTTTAATGCCAGGGTTAACAGCCCCCAGCTAAACTAGCTCCATGCACCTTCTGTTCACTAAATCTGCTACTGCCAAAACGTAACTGTTGGTCTAATCTCTCTAATGGGGGTACGGCCACCACTCACACATCGAAACGCTTACAAACAGAGTCCAGCTCAGCGCTTTTGCCAGGCACACCCATACCCATTCAGACAGGCTGCAGACCATTCTTTCCTACAATACACACACAGAGCTTACATCTGGTAACATTGACTTCTGTAGAAAGTCAATGTAGCGGCCTTTGGGCTACATTGAAGGTGTCTCTTAATTCACAATTCGACAGCTGCATCTCTGCTAACGGTACGTTTTCCCCCTTTCAAGGAGTCTATTATCCTGCCTGTCACACACTAATGGCTAAAGCAGCCCCTCCAATATCCGATATCTGCTCCTGAAGTCTTCATATTATCCTACTGCTTTCTCATTGACTTTGTTGCAGTTCTTTGCCTGATGGCACACATGCGTTGACTAGAGAAGTCTATAGGATGTGTGCGTTTTCATCTGAAAAACTTTTCAGCAAACCTGAACACTCAAAATGATTGACAGACTGTCTAAACAATAGTGTCCTGCATTTTCTTGCAGTTTACAGACCCTAGGGCTGTCAGAGAGACACGTGTGATACTTGTTTCAGTGATCTGTAAGGACGTAGAGACATTTTTTGTATGTTATTCCATTACAAAATTTTTTTTAATGTAATATAATCTCTTACTTGTATGCACACATTTACGCATACAAATGTGAATAAACAAAATAAATTCACAATAGAAAGCAAAAAGACGGCACATATATTGTAACCTATAGGCGATAAAACGGTATCGATATTTATCGACGGTACACCTTCGATAACGATAAAAAAATGTTCGATATAGAGTGACGCAGACACAAACACATGCTGAAATGAGTGCTGTGCCTGCCTGTGATGAGGAGATTGTGAATAAAGAATGAATATTAGTCGAATTTAAAATAAACATTTGCATTTGAATGTTAGGTGTGCATCAGTTAGGTGTGCATCAGTCTGTCAATCATCAGGAAGCGTCATCAGTGGCGTGCGAGATGCGGTGGTGATGATGATGTAAGTGACGTTGTAGTTTTGTTAGTCTAACCCACGAGACACGCCGCTACTGCGTTATTCATTCAAAATATTATAGAAATATAGTAGCTCAATGCCTAAAAGATCTTGATTAGGTTAAAACCGAAACCAAGCCATAAAAAGACGGCACATATATTGTAACCTATAGGCGATAAAACGGTATCGATATTTATCGACGGTACACCTTCGATAACGATAAAAAAATGTTCGATATAGAGTGACGCAGACACAAACACATGCTGAAATGAGTGCTGTGCCTGCCTGTGATGAGGAGATTGTGAATAAAGAATGAATATTAGTCGAATTTAAAATAAACCTTTGCATTTGAATGTTAGGTGTGCATCAGTTAGGTGTGCATCAGTCTGTCAATCATCAGGAAGCGTCATCAGTGGCGTGCGAGATGCGGTGGTTATGATGATGTAAGTGACGTTGTAGTTTTGTTAGTCTAAGCCACGATACACGCCGCTACTGCGTTATTCATTCAAAATATTATAGAAATATAGTAGCTCAATGCCTAAAAGATCTTGATTAGGTTAAAACCGAAACCAAGCCATTCACACAGAACTCATAATCAGCGCATTTTTAGACGGACAAATATGACTATTGCACTCGCTTCTCACACAAGAGATGTATAGAAAGCCATGCAAAGTTAAAACAGTTTAAACTTTAAGAAAACACGTCACGAATTTGTGGAGGTTTATTCCTTTTCACTGCGTCTCATGTTTTTAAACGCAATCCGTGCGATGGGAGCTTCGACTCTTTGGATTAAGCAATGCACAAATACATGATGCTGTTTTGTTCATAATTGTTTATGCAATTTATTAATTTAAACGCAATGCACATTTTTTTTATAGACAAAAGTTTCCTTGCGTTGACAATTTAAATGTGCTGCATTATTTTGCTCATTGCGCCCTCTTATGGCCTCGGGAGACAAGACAAAAGTTTCCTTAAAGTCCCCCTGTAGTCAAAAATGTTATCCTTTAAAACTCATCTTTGATCATCAAAATGACATATTGAAATGTTTTTTCTTGTGAAAATTATTTTCTCATGCCGTAAAAGAGCTTGAATGTAACTCTACACCCTTGCCTCATTTACTATACGCGGATCTATGAATATGCAAAATAGCCCCGCCTCCACTCAGTCACACACAAGCCAGGGCCTCCTGATCCACTAAATGAACTGTAGTAAACGCGATACAATGGCAAAGGCAAGTGGAAATATTGGTTTAATTAAGCCATATGTGTTTGAACCAGAAATAAGCTGGTGTGCTCAAAGCAAGGAGACTGATGGATAACTTCGTGAGGTAACATTATCTGTTTGCGCTGGTTCGTACACAGATAATGACTGATAAAACTGATGTTTTTACGAGCGGACAACTACAGTGGATACTGTAACATTCGTTAAAGTTACTTACTTGATGATGTTGTGTCCTCAAAATGCCTTGAAGACTCAAATGCAGCCAAGTTTGTGATTCCAAATCGCACCCGCAATCATATGCGTGTGATGTGCGGATGTCAATGCGGGAGAGGAGCTACTTTTACACTGCTGCTGCGGGTTATTATTCAAGTTAGCGGTTCTAAATACAAATAAATAAGCGCTAACAGCACATGACATCGTGAAAATAGGGGGAAATATTAACAGTTAGCAAAACATCTACAGAAAAAATATAACTCACTACTCACTACTAGACCCTCTGCTTTGCAGCACAGTTAATGATAAGCTAAGGATAGGATCCCTTGACGCCATTGGTTATTGAATTTTGTGACGTAGCAAAAAAAAATCTGTTTCAAACTGCGTTTCTGTGACTGCCTTTGGGAAACTACAGTTTTAAGGAGAAAATACTCAGCAATGGTGTTGATAAATGGATTGACACATGGTTTGTCTAAAAGCATATTAAAAACACCACATAGACAAATAAACATAACATAAAAACTTGATTTTCAAAATGTTGACTTTAAGACCTATTTAATCTGCATATAAAACATTAGAAATTAGATATTTGTTTAACTTTTATTTTGTGTTTGATTGTTAAAACAAAAAAAATATTTGTTTGTCTCAATAAATTGGGTTAATTTAAAAATACAGTGGTTACATTTTTTTTTATTCTATTGCTCTGTGTTTTAAAAAAGGTTATAAAAAATGTCAATAATTATCGATACCGAATGATATGAAACATTATATCGTTGATACATTTTTTAGCTATATCGCCGAGCCCTATGTAACCATTAATAACATTTTATCATGACAAACAATGAGAAATGGAAGACAAAACCTGGGCAAGAGAAAAGTGATTTCAGTGCCCGTTATATCAAGTATCAGCAACTGAAGGAAAGCATTGTCTGCTGATATATATTCTTCTCACATTCCTGTCTTTAAGAATTTAATGACCTCAGATTACCCATCTTGTCCTGGGCTTTCATTCAGGGTTATCCCTCTAAGTGGGATATGCAGTGATTAATCAGAGGAATTTGCTCCATCACTCAACCCTTTCAGAGGTTACAGGAATATTCAGGGTTATTTCCTACTTATTCATAGACAGCATCTGTGGCACAAAAAAACTATGTACCTAAGGTTGTGAAAAATGACCAAAAACACAACTGTACTTAACTGTTACGGAGACAGGGGTGCCAAAACATTTAAAATATACAACTGTTGCAAAAGAACAGCCATTCGAAAAAAATAGTTATTGTGTTTGCATTTAAGTTATGTCCAACTTAAATGCAGGGACAAACAAAAGGGACAAATCAAAGTTATATCTGTGGTATTCAAAAACATGCCAAAAATCTTGTCCATAGATTAGAAGTTGTAAATAGCCTGGACTATTCCTCAGAAATTAAACATTCAAGAAGACACTGCATACATACATACGTTTATGTTTATCGTTTGGCCTTAATGTCTGTGAGAAATTCACATTTGGCTAAAAACATACATTAAATTGTATTGACATACATTAAATTGATCAAATGTGACAGTAAATGTTAATAATGTTACAATGTTACAAAAGATGTCTGTGATAATAAGAAATGCTTCTTGAAAACCAAATCAGCATATTAGAATGATTTCTGAAGGAGTAATAGCTGCTGAGAATTCAGCTTTGCCATCACAGCAATAAATTACATTTTAAAATATTTGAAAACTTATTAAAATATATCATTTTACATTGTAATATTTCACAATATTATTGTTTTTACTTTATTTTTGATGCAACAACATTAAATAAAACATTAAATAAAGCTTACCGACCCCAAACTTTTGAATGGTAGTGTGTAAACAATTTTTTTTTAAAAATATAATTACATACATTAAACAACAGATGCACTTCATATTATAGTTACAGTACTGAGAATTGAAAAGTGACTGAATAGCATATGAGAGTGTAGAAATTTGTGAATGATAACCAACACTGGAAATACTGATGCAAGTGATGAAGTGAGAAGAGAGCAATGCCAGTCTTTACTATGAGATTCAAACATCCATAAGGACATATCAGCATATCCAATAATCACATCAGGGTGACGAATATGAAGATAGTATTGTCGAGCTGGCATTGCCTGTTCCAGAGGAAGCGGAATGAGTCGCATGCATGCTGAAACACATAAATGCACATGGGCTATGTGCATTTTTCATCTGCCAAGGAAAATGCCATACACGGGATGGTGATGGAGTGGAGATCTGCTGATAGTAATGGAAATTAAAATACCTATTCATGCAAGAGGCTGACTCAGGAGACGGCCCTTCCACCAGATGCACCCGGTTCAGTTCCCATAATGCACCAGGTCACAACAGGAAGCAATAGGCCAATAGGAATGAGAGAATAAGAGTGAGTTATCCAAAAACAGAGGGAGGTGGATCACGGCCTATGTGAAAAATGTTAACCAAAACTAGAAGATGTGTTGAAATGTCCCTGGTTGTGAAATATCAGTCAGACAAGCATGGTGAGTGGAAAAGCAATTAACATTAGAGGCAGCAAAGCTAAGCAGAACTACGCCACTGGGAGAGCAAAAGTACAACACTCCAGAGAACAGGACAAGATGATTAATAAACATCATAACATTTAACTAAATAAATCAGTTGAAGCGAAGAATCACAAGTTCTTCTATTTTTGAACTCAAATACATGTCATATAATTTCCTATATGAAATATAAGACCTTTCATGACTTCCTGCCAACTTCTGTATTCTCAGATGGTGACAGATCGGTCAACAACCAGACAGATGATTCTCTGAAAAGAACACATTCTTAAGAATCAATCATTTGTATACAGGCTGCACTGTATGTTTTTGATCCACTAAAAAACTGCTCATACCCAATAAATTGCAGTCACATTTACCATTGTTCTGTGAATTTTCGTGTGCAAAATCCAGCCATTCAGATTTTGCGTGAGGGCAAAAATGTTCCCCATGCAGATTTCACAATGGGTTTAAGTTGGTCACTTGAATTTGCCACATTGAACCAACAGATCATAATTAAATAAAGAAATTAACCTTACTACAGACAGTGTTAAAGATATCTTTATATTACAGAAAATAAACATGCAAGACTCTTCTTCACATGTACAGTATGCAGACAAACGATTTAATTGCTGACTACGAGAAGCCAGTTAGAGTAGAAAACATTAGACAAACAGCAGAACGTGGGGGCTAATTCACATAAATAAAGCAGCCAGATGTTCAAATAGCTGCTGGCTAGTTTCACTGATGGAGATCTCCTAACTAACAACCTGCTAATTAACACCCAGTGCGCCAATGAGTGAACAAGGCCTCTCACCTTGCTCTGGTACATTACAGACTGTGGGGCAAGTAAGAGAGAGGATATTAGAAATAGAGTAGATGTATAATTAATCTGCCTGCTGGCACAATAGTCAAACAAATTCCAGCACTGGGGAATACGGGTATTATATATTGTTCTTCAGAAGAGGCTCTGCTTCAGGAGGAGACCGAGGTAGATTAAAGAAAAACGCAAAGCTTGATACAAATTTTAAAGTTAGAGTCTAGTTATCAGTGAAAAACTGCTGTTTTTTTCCACTTCAGTGGTACAAAGGCTTAAGCCACATTTGATTTTCCAGAGCAGTAGGTATAATATACATGATTCTAAGCCTTCAGGGATATTCTGCTCTTAAACATTATTTCACTGTCCGCTGGACCGCAGTAAACAGTGGGAGGAAGTTTGTGAGGCTCAATGGAAGCTTGCCATTCATAGGCCTCACTCAGAGAAGGGTTTAGATAATGATGTTCCCATGTCCGCTCTGTGAAAGAGAACAGGACTGTGGAAAAGCGAGTTGGGTGGAAGCTCAGTGTGAATTCCTGTGAGCAAACAGCAGCTTCGGTGATGACAGCATTGAGGCTAAAATTACTGGACAAAAAGAGAAGGGCTGTTCCAAATTTAAATAATAAGTCATGAGAGTCTTCGAGACACAGTGTTTTTCCTCATTTAAAGCAGGCTGGTAGACAACAAAGCTTATTACAAAACTTAAAAACTGGTGTACATAATATAATATTTCAAAATATAAATAAATTATTTTTAATAAAAAATTATTTTGACAATAAAGTTAATTAACTATACTGTTGGCTTCTAATCATTTTAATAGTTTGTACAGCATTATGTACTCGTATATAAAATTATATATATTTATTATATAAAATATTTAGGACCTGGCTTATTCTTTCAAATTTTAGAGCCATATACAGTATATATACTGTATATATACACACACATTTTTTCCCCTTTCCATAACAAGAAAAATGATCTGGTCTGAGGGTTTTTTGACTCATGACAAGAATATATTAGGTAACTGCGTAGAGGAACATGATTAGTTCAAACAAGCACAGTTTTAGTTGAGTCCCTTATGAATTTGTGAGCACTCTGAACAGAGAAAGCTTACTTGGTGATCTGTGTGGTCAGAAGAGGGCAGAGAGAGGAGCCAAACAACTGCCACATTAATTAGTCATCCCTGACTGCTGCCCACACAACACAACTGATAATATGCCCCATGACACAGACATCTTGAGGGCGTAGCCAATGAAGCCAGTGAAGCTGAGCCTACACACAGGAACAGAGTAGCATTAGAGTGCAGATTATCATGACGCTCTTACCTTGAAGGTGTACTTGCGGCTGATGTGGTCCTCGGGTCCCACGGGGGAAATGACATAGCTGGGCAGAGGAATGCTGCCCAGAGCCGTCTGTATTTGGATGCTTAACTTTTTTACTTTTTGGCCAAAGTGTCAAAAACATTCTGGGGCTAATTTATGTACAAGGAAAACACTTTTACTGCAAAATGTTTACAATAACAAGGTTTGTGGCATTTATTAATCTCAATCCATATAAAGTCCAGCACAAATGATCATTTGTCAACCCAAATGTGCACAGAGGGCCACACAGTTTTCTTACCTGTGTTACTTGAGAATAAAATGAGATTTTATTAAAAAAAAAATTAAAAAAAAGGCAAATGTGGAAATGATGACTATGCCCGCCAGG